TCTGCTACATCTCTATTATTGATTTGGTTTATCATTGCATGATATTCGTTTGTCTTACTCTATTTAACCCTTCATTCCCCCTCCTCTCAATCCTCTCCCCCCTGTACTGCATACTCATATCTTCTCTGTCCCCTGTCCCCTTAGCCGCTATCGCTGAATTTTTCCCGCGATTGCGCCCTTTATTTCAGGGACTGGGACTTGCATAAGGGGTTCGGCGGGAGGTGGGAGCGTGGGATAGGGTTATTTATCACCTGGCAGACCGCGATCGCGGATCACGATTGCAGCCGCGCCAGAGGTTTTGGCGCGAATGGCGGCCATCTTGGATCGTGCATACCGTGAGATCCACGACGGCCATTTTGCGTTTCATATAGATCGTGATTTACACGATCTCTCTCTCTACTGCAATGTCATATTATGTATTCTGCTAATTCCATTACACCAAACGGCTGAGGGTTACTCCACTCCTATTACATTCAGCCATAATCACAGTGATAATTATTACTTGGTCAATTGCACTGCAAGCACTACAAATACTGGCTTTACATTAACCCTCACATTACCACAGTACCTACTTCAGAGGTGACCCCTCACAGCTGGGGTGACCCCCCACTCACACTGCCACCATTATTATAACAGGAGTGACCCCCCTACGCTGGGTGACCCCCAAGTGGAACTTGCACAGTACTCTGTGACAGAACTAATTCAGGGGTGAAGCCTCTGTAGATGGGGTGACCCCCTACATGCCCTTATATGAAACATTGTACGCACAGGCATACATCCTGCCATTCACTGACCATTGGGCACGATTTTCATGCAAATAATACCTGGCACCCCACACTACGACTGTGGTGATCCGTACACCTCCTTACCATCCAAGGAGGGAATGTCCACAGTGTTCAGGCTCCACTATTTGGCTCATATTTGGATGACCCCCAAAGCTATTAAAGGCCCTTCACCCTCTATGGGTATGGCCCGATTACAAAACTGCTCATTCCGGTCTCACTGAGGGTGACCCCCTCCACACACCACCTCGACCCCTATCGACCTCAGGGTCCTGGGTCTGACAACATTGGGTGAACCCCAGTCGTAAGTGGAAACCACTGTATTGCCATTCACGTACTTCGGTACCTGACCCTATTCTGTCTTCCAGAGACAGAGTAACTCTACGGTCACATGATGAGCGATTCACCACGATCACCAACTGCCGACTTCCAGTCAATGATCAATACGGCGGTGGCCTCCTCAGTAGAAAAGGCTGTTGTCAAATTGCTGGTGCAGCTCCCTAAGATGGACA